TACTGTCGTCGTGATCCTGGGCCCGTAGTGGTGCGGCCTAGTGGCTCCAGGGAAGCCTGCATTGGAGTCGCTGTCACGGCCTACATTTCCCAGGTTCCCTCTGGACCTTGTGATTGGTTAACGGGGGGTTTGGAGGGGAAACTTCACCAACTGGGCAGGAGAGGGTGGTGCCTTGGCTAAAGGGCCTTGCCCAAAGTGGGATGGGGTTCACTCCCAGGGAGCGGGGCTGGTGCGAGGATACTGCAGATGGAGGAGGGATTCCCCCATCCAAAAGGGGTGCGTCCCTCTGAGACCAGGTGCCTAGCAAATAGGGTTGCCAGCCTCCAGGTGGGGCCTGGGGATTTCCCTGCTTTTGCAACTGATCTCCAGCCAACAGAGATCCGCTCCCCTGGAGAAAATGGCTGCTTTGGAGGGTGGACTCTTTGGCGTTGCACCCTGCTGAGGCCCCTCCTCAAACCCCGCCCTCTCCTGGCTCCACCCTAGTGATGTAAAATTTCCGAAAGTTTTGAAGCTCGGAAAAAAACCCATTGTTTTCCCAGTTTTTCCCCGGAAAAAAGACATTTCCGGGAAAATTGGGGGGGAAATGCTACATTAGCATTTCTTTTGTCTTTTCTAGATTGAAAGTCATTCTGTTACTTTAGGAACATAAAATATGACTATGGACATTTTTACTTGGCATGAAATTAACACAACTAGCATATTAAAAATATCGTGTATCCAAACAATTATTACAAACAGAATACCCACCCACATGCAAAAACAAAACTGAAACCTTTTCCTTTTCTTGTGACAATAGCACCTCCTAAAGGAAGAAATGCATCTTGTTCTTGCATTGGAGAGTTCAGTTTGTAACCTAGGACTTGCTTGTCCTCAGTGCACAGAAATTAGATCAATCTGATACCATATATATATATTTTAGAAATGATTTGGAAAATATTTGAACACCTTGTCTTAAAATATTTTATTCATCATGTTAAAATAAAATGTTCCATAATCAATTTTTTTCCTTTTCTTTTTTCAATCTTTCCAATTTTTCGGAAAAAAACAAAAAAGGCTTCAGGAAAAAAAAACGGGGGGGAAACGGTTTCCCCCCAAATTTTCCCGTTTTTTTTCCGGGCCTTCACATCTCTACTCCACCCCCAAAGTCTCCAGGTATTTTCCAACCCATACCTATAGTCAGACACATCGGGATCCATTATTTTACTGATCTACCTACCTTTAGTGTGCTAATTCTTCCGACGTGATTTTGAACTAAAAGTTGTTATTAAATCTTGTTCATAAAACGAGTTTGTTACTCAGCCTGGTTCCTCACGCCACATTTGGTCACTATAAAGGGAAACCTGCTGGAAAAGGAGTGTATCAAGGGGTAGAGCGTGTGCTCCGGGCCCTCCCGAGGAGACCCCATACCAGAGTGGTGGCAGCCATTGGAGAACCGTTCTGGCCACAGCCTACGGCGCCTACATCTGACGGAGGGAGCGTCAAATCTCAGAAGCTCATTCCCGGTGGTCACCCGTGTTGGTCCGAAGCAGCAGAAGAGATTTAGAGTCCAGTGGCATAAGGACATAAGAACGTAAGAGAAGACAATGTTGGATCAGGCCAGTGGCCCATCCAGTCCAACACTCTGTGTCACACAGTGGCCAAAAAGACCAGGTGCCCTCAGGAGGTCCAGCAGTGGGGCCAGAACTCCAGAAGCCCTCCCACTGTTGCCCACCCAGCACCAAGAATACAGTGCATCCCTTGCCCCATACCGAAAGTTCCTATCCATACCTTGTGGGTAATAGCCACTGATGGACTTCTGCTCCATGTGTTGATCCAATCCCCTCTTGAAGCCGTCCATGCTTGTGGCCACCACCACCTCCTGTGGCTTGTAGCTGCCACCACCTCCTGCAGCAGTGAATTCCATGTGTTAATCACTCTTTGGGTGAAGAAGTACTTTTATCTGTTCTAACTCAACTGCTCAGCAATTTCATACCTTGAACAAAACTTTGTTGGTCTTAAAGGTGCCCTTGGGTTCTTAAGCTCATTCCCTGAAAACCTTATTTGTCTCTAAGGTTCTACTGGATTCAAACCCAGCTGTTTTACTTCAAATGACCATGGCTGCCCTCTGAAGCAGAAATCCAGCTTGCCACGGTGGGGAGGGGGGGAGGATAAGGATTGTGAAGCATGGAAATCTTATCTCTTCCCCCCTCTCTGGTTTCCAAGACTTCCTCGGGCATTTCTCCACCCACCCACTCCCGGCCCATCTCTGCATCCATAAAGGGCCAGAGACTTCGCACTGTTTAAATAACGAGAGGCAGATTGATCCTTCGAAGCAATAACAGGAGGCTGCCGTTTACACAAGTGTGTTCTTGTTTTATGTGGGTGGGCGGCAGTCGTATAATGGGGAATCTCTCCCCCCTCTCCCAAAATGCTTTGAACCACTGGGCCCAACAGTGGCTTGGTCACAGGTGGTAGGCTGTTCTGCAGTAAATCAGTGTCGGAGACAATTTGCATTTTTCACCCTCAGGTCTCCATGAGATGATTGTGGGATCACTGGGATTTTCTGAGGTCGTTTTCTTTCGAATCCAAGAACGGCTAACAGCTTTCCTCTCCTCTGATTCCAGATATGTCTTCACAGTTCGACCTGGGGTGCCTCACGGTGGCGATGTGGTCCATCGGCCTTGGGGCCATCGGGGCCGCGGTGACGGGGGTCATCCTGGCCAATACGGATTTGTTCCTGTCTAAAGCGGAGAAGGCATCGCTGGAGTTTCTGGAGGATATAGATCTGCAGACTCTGATGGGAGAAGGTAGGGTCAGGCTAGCTCGGAGTGACGGGCCCATTCGGACACAAGTCGTTCGACCTCATTTTTGCAACTCTGGGCATCGGTAGAGAATTAAATGTGCTAGGAAAAGAAAAATGCAGCGGGTTGCGTCCTGCAAACGGAAGGGGTTCGTGGCATGGACTTCTTCCTGCTCTCCTCTCCCTCTAGAGCCAGTTTGGTGTAGTGGTTAAGTGCACGGACTCTAATCTGGGGAACCGGGTTTGATTCCCCACTCCTCCACTTGCAGCTGCTGGATGACCTTGGGCAAGCCATAGTTCTGATAAGAGCTGTCCTTGAAAAAGAGCAGTTTCTGCCAGAGCTCTCTCAGCCCCACCTATCTCACAGGGTGTCTGTTGTGGGGAAGTGAAGGGAAAGGAGCTTGTAAGCCGCTCTGAGACTCCTCTGGGTACTGAAGGGCCATGGGGTATAAATCTCTTCTTCTCTTCTTTCCCTTTCAATCTTGGCCAGTTTGGTGTAGTGGTTAAGTTTGAGGACTCTAATCTGGGAGAACCGGGTTTGATTCCCCACGCCTCCACTTGCACCTGCCTGGATGGCCTTGGGCAAGCCATAGTTCTGATAAGAGCTGTCCTTGAAAAAGAGCAGTTTCTACAAGAGCTCTCTCAGCCCCACCTACCTCACAAGGTGTCTGTTGTGGGGAGGGGAAGGGAAAGGAGTTTGTAAGCCGCTCTGTGACTCCCTTGGGTAGTGAAGGGCGGCATATAAATCCTCTTCTTCTTCTGCCATCTTCATGTGCGTGTAAACTGCCAAGAAGTTGTAGCCAACTGATAGGCCACTCTGAAGGGTTTTCAAGGCAAGTGATATTCAGAGGTGTTTTGACATTGCCTGCCTCTGTAGCCTCTGGATTTCCTTGCTGGTCTCTCATCCGAGTATTAACCAGGGCCGATCCTGCTTAGCTTCCGACAAGCCAACCAGATCGGACTAGCTTGGGCCTGCACTCTAGGTCCTTTCGCAATAACTCCCACATAGGTAAGAAATCACCTTTCCTGCATCACCAATTCTAGATAGTTTGAAAACTGTGTATTTTTCCAGGCGTGCGGTGAGGTCTAATGGGGTATGTCAGATTAGCTTCGACAAGTAGGGATTTCTGTCTCTGGTGCCTTCTCTGCTCCTGGAAGCTGATCTGTAAATGTCTGCAGTGAGCAAAGGTAACTTTTCTTCTTGCTTTTGGGAAAGCGACGAAAACACGTGCCCCTTTCCCTGGGCAAGACTCTGTGCCCACTCTGATATCGTCTATTGAGGAGTGTGGTTGGTTTGTTGTGGCCCACTGGTTTAGATGGAGCAGCCTAGTTTTACGTGGGTCATTGGCCAACCTTGGGAGTCAAAGGGTGTTAAGAAGTTCCCTTGACCATCCAGCCAACAGAATTAAGTCAGCCGTGTAGGAGAGAAGAGACTGGATTTATACCCCGCCCTTCACTACCTAAAGGAGTCTCAGAGGGGCTTACAAACTCCTTTCCCTTCCCCTCCCCACAACAGACACCCTGTGAGGTAAAAGAAGAAGAGGAGGAGATTGGATTTATACCCCGCCCTTCACTACCCAAAGGAGTCTCAGAGGGGCTTACAGACTCCTTTCCCTTCCCCTCCCCACAACAGACACCCTGTGAGGTAAAAGAAGAAGAAGAGGAGATTGGATTTATACCCCGCCCTTCACTACCCAAAGGAGTCTCAGAGGGGCTTACAAACTCCTTTCCCTTCCCCTCCCCACAACAGACACCCTGTGAGGTGGGTGGGGCTGAGAGAGCTCTTGACAGAAACTGCTCTTTTTCAAGAACAGCTCTTATCAGAACCACAGCTTGCCCAAGGTCACACCAGCAGGTGCAAGTGGAGGAGTGGGGGAATCAAACCCGGTTCTCCCAGGTTAGAGTCCGCGCACCTAACCACGACACCAAACTGGGTGTAGCTAGCCCATGGAATTTTTCATTGCTAACTTTATTTTTTATTCATCCTGACCTAGATGGGCCCTGGCTAGCCCGATCTCCTCAGAGCTCAGACGCTAAGCAGGGCTGGCTCTGGTTAGTCCTTGGATGGGCGACCTCCAAGGAAGTCCAGGTTGCTATGCAGAGGCAGGCAATGGGAAACCACCTCTGAACATCTCTTGCCTTGGAAACCCCATGGGGGTCGCCTTAAGTCAGCACTTCCCACCCCCGGTGTCTTTATTCAGGTGAGCAAGACGTCACCGGTTCTCTAACCCGCGCTGCCTTTTGTTCCCGAGCAGAGCAAAGAACGTTCAAAGCCGGGGAGCTGTGGAGGAAGAATGGGGCCGTGATCATGGCGGTGCGGCGACCAGGATGATTTCTGTGCAGAGAGGTATGGCGGGTGTTTGGCGTGAGTGTCCTCTGACGAATGGTCGATAGAGTTGCCCTAGCTGTGGCGTCCAGGAACACGCGGATTGGATGCAGAGACTAACACGGGGAGGCGCTGAAATATTTAAGATCGATCCCATATAAGGAAAACGTTTATCAAATGATTCGTAGATGGTGCTTATCACCGGACCAGCTGGCAAAACGTTATCCCAATTTATCAAGGAATTGTTGGAAAGGCAAAAACAATGTGGGCACCTTTTATCAAAATTGGTGGAGGTGTACAATAACACAACGTTTTTCGTACAAGGTACATAACCTCATCCTAGATATTGCAGAGCTGGATATACCATTATCCCTGGAACCTTTTCTGTTAAATATGATGCCAGATGAATATAGCGTAGATGATAAATATGTTATCATATATATCTTAACTGCAGCTCGTATTCTTTTCGCCAGATATTGGGAACAGGAGGGAACACCCTCTAAGATGGAACTTACTAGAGGTGGTAAAAAGGTAAAGGTAAAGGTTCCCTTGCTCGAAAGCCAGTCGAGTCCGACTCTAGGGTTGTGGTGCTCATCTCCGTTTCCAAGCCGAAGAGACAGCGCTGTCCAAAGACGTCTCCGTGGTCATGTGGCCGGCATGACTAAACACAAAGGCGCACGGAACGCTGTTCCCTTCCCACCGAAGTGGTCCCTATTTATCTACTTGCAATTTCTTGCTTTCGAACTGCTAGGTTGGCAGGAACTAGAGGTGGTAGAAATGGATAAACTAACTTTAACTTTACAAAACAGAGATGATGTTATTTTCAATCGTAGATGGGAAAAACCTTATATCTGGATATATAACAACAAAAATACGCTATCATAATGCATATGTGACTCCAAAAATTTGGTGTTTTTCTTTTTCTTATATTTGATTGTATTCATTACCCTATACAGGGTTTGTTGGAAAATTAATAAATAAACATCTTTTAAAAAAACACACACAGGGAGACACTGGTGCCATGGAGAAGGCAGGGCTGAACTCTTCTCCCTGATTTCCTGTGGGCAGGGAATGTTCTTCTGGAAGACTATTCAGTCACATTCGCCTCCCCACGCAGCCCAGAGGTGAAAATAAGACCCCGGGCAGCTCTGCTTCGAAACCTGACGCAGGTTGGAGGGACGTTCACAAAGACAGACCTTGGTGTGGATTTCCAGGTTGCGAGAAAGGATAGTTCTTAGTCAGGGCTGGACTATGGTGGCTTACTTGGCCTTCTTCTCGTGGCCTCACACTGTTGCCCGACAGAGGAAGTCCGTTCAGGAGTCTCTGCCAGACGCCATCCTAGCTAGGACTTACGGCTTCCTGCCATTTTGTGTGTGGGTGACATAAGGTGGCGTCGCATGACGTGACAGTGAAGGCAGGAGACTGACGTCGGTCACACGAACGCGTGAAGCTCCCCTGCACAGAACTAAATCAGTATTGTCTCCTCAAATTGGCAGTAGCTCTCCAGGGTCTCGGGCAGAAGTCTTTCCCTTCACCTACAGTGTGTTCCTTCTAACTGGAGATGCCGGGGATTGAACTGGGGACCCTGCATGTGTTTCATGTTGCCAGGTGTTGGGATGTGGTTTTGTTTTTTTTTTGGTTTGTTAAATGGCTTTGTATTTGTGCCCCACCCATGGCATATTTAATTTAACGTGGTGCTGTTTCTTCTCCCCCTCGTTCTACTGCACCTTTCGTTAGAAAGACGGTAGGACGCAATTTCTTTAACGTGCGTTCGCTCCAACATCCTGTGTCATGAATTTTGGGGACGCACGAGGATGTCTGGAGGCAGTGGAGTCTCTCCAGCTCCTGAACTTTCCATACTTTTTGGGCTTAGGTCACCTCTGTTTAAAATCGTGTTATAATTGTATGTTCACGGATTGGTGGCTGCCGACTTACGTAAGGAAGGCCGGCTTTGCCCATCGAACTCCTGAAGTACCAGGTTTTTTTTCCTTACCAGCCAGGTAAAGGTAAAGGTTCCCTTGCTCGAAAGCCAGTCGAGTCCGACTCTAGGGTTGCGGTGCTCATCTCCGTTTCAAAACCGAAGAGCCACCGCTGTCCGAAGACGTTTCCGTGGTCATGTGGCCGGCATGACTAAACACCAAGGCGCACGGAACGCTGTTCCCTTCCCACCGAAGCGGTACCTATTGATCTACTTGCAATGTCTTGCTTTCGAACTGCTAGGTTGGCAGGAGCTGGAACTAGAGACGGGATCTCACTCCGTCATGCGGCACACTAGGGTGTCGAACTGCTGAACTACCGACCTTCCACAGCCTGCAGTTCAGCGTCTTCACCACTTGAGCCACCGCAGCTCCTAAGAACCTCTGCCAGTATATATGCCTTGGATGCCACCTTAGCATGGGTTTGTGTCCATGACTTTAATACCAAGGCCGGCCTTGTATGTCAAGTCGCAACGGACTTCTGGCGATCCCAGCAAGGGGCTGTCAAGGCAAGTGAGACGCAGAGGTGGTTGGCCACTGCCTTCCTCCGCAGAGACTTCCTTGGTGGTCTCCCATCCAAGTACTGACCCTGCTTGGCTTCCAAGATTGGGCTATACCATATTGCAGGTATGTCCAACAGGTAGATCACGATCTACCAGTAGATTGCGGACGGGTCAGAGGTAGATCACCAGCCCCACTTGGTCTCCTGGTTTGCCGGACAGGTGTTTGGGATTCCCTGAGACTGGCCCTCACGCCATATTCACCCAACTTCAAAAAGCTGGTGGATGAAATGCAGGCTCAGACGTCTCACTAATGAGCAAGAGCGAAGTTTTAAAGATTGCGCAAGATCAGCCTGGATCAACACTTGACCGACATTTAACACAAATAACTGAATAAAAGTTAAAGAAAGTTATTGAGACAGTTAAAGAAAGTTATAACTCAATAAAAAAAAATAAAAAATGTTCGCAGTTCTTTCTGGATCTGCGTCTCTCTGTTTTGTTTTTGCTTATTTTGCTTACCAGTAAATGACAGAAGGTGGCTCAAGTGGTTAAGACGCTGAACTGCAGGCTGTGGAAGGTTGGTAGCTCAGCAGTTCGAGACCTGGGTTGCCGCATGACTGAGTGAGCTCCCGTCTCTAGTTCCAGCTCCTGCCAACCTAGCGGTTCGAAAGCAAGAAATTGCAAGTAGATAAATAGGTACCACTTCGGTGGGAAGGGAACAGCCTTCCGTGCGCCTTGGTGTTTAGTCATGCCGGCCACATGACCGCGGAAACGTCTTCGGACAGCGCTGGCTCTTCGGCTTTGAAACGGAGATGAGCACCGCAACCCTAGAGTCGGATTCGACTGGCTTTCGAGCAAGGGAAACCTTTACCTTTACCTAAATGACAGAAGGTATATTATAAATGGGGGGCAATGGAGCCCGACTTTAGTGGGTTAAAATCTAATTTGAAACTAATTTGCAACTTTATTTCCATGGTGGTAGATCACCGGCACTTTTGGCCAGAAAAAATAGATCACTACCTGTTCGAAGTTGGGCATTCC